CTGCTTTTTTTTTTGTATAAAATTCATTAGAGATTCCTGGTACAACCCTGGGATTTGATAAAATTGATACTAAAATTATCTACGTATCGTAAAATCAAAGAAAACCAAAATACATTTAAATATGTCAAAACCAAGATAAGGGATTTAGGTTACCTTTAAATCTGTGGATGATGAAGCAAAGATCAAAAGGAGAAGCGTAAGGCGAGTTAAGTAGGGGCAAAGATGACATGAGCGGAAGTGCAGAACACAAAGTAATTCTCTATGACACTTGTTTCTCGTTTGTAAAGCGGATAATGGAATCAAATTCTTATTGTTCCCACATACGTATTCTATCTTTATATATAAAGCATGGTTTTCTCAGTTTTAGAGTTTGCCATGTCACTAATTAGTATTACCATAATTTGACATGTGACAATTCATTAACCAAATTTGCTTCTTTGGTTTCAATTTTTTATGGGCTCTATGCTACAATTTATTGGGTTCTTTTTCTTTATTAAGTTCTATAAAACTCAACAAGATAAAAAAAACGATCATCTTTGCAAAAGGCGGTCTCAAAAATTAAGGCTAATAGTTATTTCTATCTCTGGCGAACTAAAGCAACAATGGAATTTCAGGAAAGACGAAACGTCATGAATCATGAATCTCTGTGTCAAACTTCGATCTTCTCATCTTCAATGGAAACCATGACGGTTACGGTTGTTTCAATCGTTGTCATTAACTTTTCAATTAACTCCATCCGCCCACTAATTCCATGATTTCTTATTCATTGTATCTCCCTTTCTTCCCTTTCTTCCCGTCGATGAATCTGAAACTATTTATAGGTGAGTATGTATCCATAAACATTATCATTATATTCTATCTATAGTTTTGATCCCCAAAGCCTTTTGAACTCTCAGGTGGTTGGTGGTGAAGGAGTGAGAACTGGTTTCATGCGGATCAAGTGTCAGTCACAATGGAGAGTCATGTCTTGGTTGTTATGGCAAAAAGCCATGTGAGAGACTGTGATTCGGTGATGATCAGAAATTTCTCGGGAGCATGGAGACATCATCAAGGACCATTAATTCCGGTAACATTTTTTTTTACTTAGCCCAAAAATAGATTGATGATTGGAAATCTTTGTTAACATTTGAGTATAGCTTATTGATAGCTTAGGTTTATTATGTATAATATAAAGTTTGAGATGAATGTCGATTGATTGAAGAATAAGAGTGCTAATTGTGAGTTGAATTTAGTCTCATTGCATGATCAATTATTGTATAAAAATTCCATCCATTTATTAGTCTCTCAATTTTTTTCTTTACAACTGCAAAGGAAAGAATTTTTTGTTCATCTATGGATATGAAGGGTCTTTATATACCTTACATGTCTGGAGAAAGGGAAGAATATTCTGGGGAAAAATGGATCAATTTGAAGCATAACGCCAACCCGAGTTCGAGCTTCTTCAGATAAGTCCAGAACGAGGTTAACTATTCCATGCTCATGGTAAAATACTATGTATAAAAATCCTTGATATATATACATATAACATGGCAAAGAGATTACTGTCTTTTTTTTTTTATCAAGGAGACCGTTTTAAGTTAAAAAAAAAAAGAACTCATACCAGCAACTTAGATTATATTCTAACTCATTCCGATCATTTTATTTTCCGAGCTTCATTACTGAACAAAGAAAATAATAGATTAATAGTGCATTCATGTATAAATAATTTTTATTTAAGAATTATTTCTCTATAATTTTTGATACTTTTGATTGATCACCGGTTTGTTTGATTTGAGAAATAGCCACTTTAAATCTGTTTTGATTTGAGAAACACCCGCTTTGATTTGGCCATCAATTTAAGCAAAAACCATGTTCACCAATCTTTTTTTTTCTTAATTTTGCAAAGATTCAATCAAACCCATCTTACTTCACTATTGTCTGCACTGCAATAAAGCTTAAAATCATTATTTTTTGTTAAGACCAAGATTGCACTATAAATATAGTTAGGTCGATAAATCTATTTTATCACTAAACCAAAAAATGATTTATATGTCTGTTTGTTTTTAAGATTGGAGACGCTAATGCAGTATTTTTAAAGCTAATTTAAAAAAAAAATTCAGTTGTAAATTAAATTACTTTTTACATAAAAAATGAATAAACAAAATAAAAGACTATTTTGATCATATCTAAAGTTAAATTAACTTTTATTCACGTAGCTTTCTTTCTTATATATAATTTCCAGTTATGGAAATTCAATAATATGAGTACACACTTTACATCGTTCATAATGAATAAAACAAAGGCAAATTTTTGTTNTATAATTTCCAGTTATGGAAATTCAATAATATGAGTACACACTTTACATCGTTCATAATGAATAAAACAAAGGCAAATTTTTGTTTACCTACCATAATATATATGTGTAACCGGTTCATTGTATATTCAAAAAATATTTAAATACATATGAAACCAAAATTTAATTTAAAATAATAGAAAACACACCTTAATATAGATTTATTTTTTTGTAACAGAAAAAACAAGAAGATAATTTGAAGCTCCCACAGTATATCAATGGCACAACTCTTTAATATAGAAACAACTATTTTTCGTCTTTTGGGACAATAGAAACGACTACTATAAGCAAAAAAAAAAACTATTTTGTTACATATAATCCCTCTTCACCTAAAATTTTGTAAACGAGAAAAATCATTATAATACACATCTCTTACAAATGCTGACCAAAAAATGATAAATTATGATTTATGTATGATATATGAGGATATATAATTGTATCTTATTATTTTTGAGTATGTTCTATAAGCTTTTGGAAGAAAAATGTTATATAAGCTTTTAATGTTTTTAAGAATGTTGGTGTGTAAATATTATATGTTAGTTTATTCTTTGGTTTCTTTTTTAGATTTTAATAGTCTTACTAAATTTAGCTGATTTCTTTGAAATTTAATGTGGAGATAATATTCTAATTCTTTAATTTAAAAGATTTACTATTCTGAATTATATATATACGTGTTCAATTCATGTATTACTTTATCTTATTTTTACATATTTTGAAAAGATCATTTATATAATTATGATCAATACTTTTAGTGTTTTATAATAGGTATTGCATATCTATTAGTATTCTATGTTTACGAATCTGTGTATATCATTTAACATGTGATTTTGTTGATTTTTGTGTGTTTTTTGTGCAACTTTATCGTTTAACATGTGAGGTATTACATATCTTATATTCTTGTGTGTTTTTTGTGCATTTTTAATTGGTATCAGAGCTTAAGTTGAAGCTTTGATCCAAACTCGATTGTCTTCATCATCTTTATTGGAGAAAACTGGCCAGTTGTGCTTCCTGTTTTTGGAGAAGATCAGATTCTGAGCAGAAAGTGACAAGGGTTTCTCAAACATTCTCACTTGAGACACCATTCTCACTTGAGAAACCATTCTCGAGAACTCTGTTATTCCCAAAAAAGCCACTAAACTTTGAAGAAATGTGCTCATTTTGAATTCAAGAAAGGGAACGTTTGGTTTCTTAAAGGGGATCTGTTGTCTGTCGCAGAGAAGAAGAGTTAAAGTTGTGTGTTTCTTTGTTGTCTCGGACCTCTACTACGATATTTATACATAAAAATGAAACTAATAAGGATTGGCTATTTGGTTTTTAGGTTTAGATTTTTGATTGTATTTTACTGTACCACCTCATATACTGATGCTAATCAGCAAAATCAGCTGTCCTATACTCACCAAAGAAGACTTAACGTGTATGTTTCTTTTGTGTCTGACCTCTTGGTGAAAAAAACGTTTTTAATGATTCTATGAAAAGTATGGGAGCATCTTTTTTATCTGTTCTCTAACTACTACAGACCTGTTATGTACGTACAAATTATATATTATATAAACATACTAGGGCTGGTCCGCGCTACGAACGGAATATGATTTATGTATGATATATGAGGATATATAATTGTATCTTATTATTTTTGAGTATGTTCTATAAGCTTTTGGAAGAAAAATGTGTTATAAGCTTTTAATTTTTTTAAGAATGTTGGTGTGTAAAGATTATATGTTAGTTTATTCTTTTGTTTCTTTTTTTAGATTTTAATGGTCTTACTAAATTTAGCTGATTTCTTTGAAATTTAATGTGGAGATAGTAATCTACATCCTCATATCATCCTTATATATATTTAACTGAAATTAACATTTTATATTTTTATTAGTGTTGTTAGAGATCCTTTAATAGTCTTCTTTAGATTTTAATAGTCTTACTAAATTTAATAGTCTTACTAAATTTAATAGTCTTACTAAATTTAGCCGATTTAACACATCCTCATCTAATCCTTATATATATTTAACTGAAATTAACATTTTATATTTTTATTAGTGTTAGTGATCATAATTTATATTAGGTATAAAATATTTTCATTATTTAAATTGTTATATAGTTTCCTAAACGTTTGCTCAAATTTTAATATATACATATAGCAAATGGAATATAATTTTTATGATTTTGGTTAGGTTTAACACTCAAAATATTGCGTTTATTTTCTTTTTTGTACATAATTTTGAATATACAAATAGATTAGTTCATTCTACTCTTTGGGAAATGGAATCAATAATTTTAATAACCCAAAATGTAAATTCATAATTCACTGTAATAGATTTTTTTTTTTTTAAAGTTTGGCAAATCCAATGAAAACAAAATACAAATTATTACTATTCAGATAAAGATATTACTGGATTTTATATATAATTATATTTAGAGACTAAATAAAGTTTGTTATCCAAATAATTGATTATATTTAAAAAACAAAATTTAATCATTATTTTCGAATATTGTTTTTAAATAGAAACCTTATGTAATTAAAAAATTTCAAATACGAGAGTGAAGAGCAACTAAGAGCATGATTATTGGTAAGGACTTTTTTAAGTCCTTAGATTATTTTAATATTACTTTTATGTGTATGACATTTGTTAAGGACATTTGTTAAAAGCATGATTATTGGTAAGGACATTTGTTAAACACAAGCATGATCAGTATGCAGTGAGATCATACATACATACCCAGTGACAGGATCAACAACTTGCACATTTGAGGCGTGAAGAGGAGCCTCCACCGTGAAAATCCCACCTTCATGATCAGAGCCTCCCTTTATATGCTTCTTGATCTGCCAATACAGAAGAAAAACACACAATGAGTAACCAAAGACTATCCCCAGCAGCAAAGCTAGAACAACCTAAACAAAAAGAGTTCAACTTGAATAAATTTAAACCACTACGTTTGTGATTATTGCAACCAAACAAATGATGCTTGAAGTCAAATATAAGAATCCAAATGAAAACTGATAACTTCATGATTAGTGTTAAGCTAATGCTATGATCCTGATTTAGCAAAAGTTCATACTCCAGAAACACAAACAAAGGTGATATTATACACATTCTCTCAACACATAAGATTGAGCAAAGAAAACATATCCACAACGAGATGAATCAAGACAATCTCTCTCACCAGATTCTTTCCTTCAACAATGACACGATTCTGAGATCTGATGACATGCTTAATGGTTCCAGTCTCACCCTTATCTTTCCCGCGGATTATTATTACCTAAATAGAAAGATCAAAGACACCACCGAGTTACACTCTCAAAACCTAAAGAGAAAAAAAAACCTCAGAATTTGAAACAGAGATAGTAAAGTTTAAAGACAGCGACCTTCTGAATCACACAAGTGTTTCTTGTAGAAGAGATGACAAGTTTTGATCAAGAAGTTATCACACAACTCCTTGTCAGCAAGCAACTGTTTTGACACACTGGGCACCACCAAAGTCGCTTTCTTTTGCTGATAACAAAGCTTCACACATGGTATCTCCACAGACCCATCTCCTATTCTCAACTCAGCTTCTTGATCGGACAAATCTTCGCCAACAATCGCAACTTCAGTACTCTCTTGGCACTCAAAGTCCCTGAAAATCAAACCCAGCGTCCGATTGTAAGCCCCAAACACCGAAACAAGGAGCTTCTCACCACCGACCCAAGAATCAAACCCAACAATCCGATTGTAAGACGAATCCAGCTAAGCTTGAAGAAAAAAAAAGGAGAAAAACAATTTAACAACGTTGCCCTAATTTCTCAGATTGAATTGATGAGAACGAAGATTGAAGAGTGAGAATCGGAGAAGGACGAATCGGGGACGTTCCTTAGTTAAGGACGAATCATGAACGTCCTTATGTTTATTACTATTTTTTATTTATTTTTCAAGCATTAAACATTAAGGACGTTGGCTTAGGACAGCGATAATCGTGCTCTAACAACGAATAGGAGGCATCCTAGGAGCCTCTCGATCGACATCATTATATGTGATATATGTTTATACGTTTTCTGTTGAATTTGTTTATTGTAAGAAAACCTTTTGTTTTGTGGGTGGTTAAGTGTGTGCTATGCAAGTGACTGTAGAGTGAGGTGGTGCATGCTCATCGCGGAGGTGCTTCTTAGCTTTCCCTTCTTTTTTTTTTCTTTTTTTTTTGAGAACGGTAGATTTTGGGTTTTGTAAATGTAATTTTGAGTATTTATTCTTTTTAAAGATGTCTGGTAAGATTTCTTTATTAATTTTCCGGGACTTGTTTATTTTTTTCTTTTTTGTGACCATGTGGCCTGTCCTAATGGTTTTTGGTTTGTTGTTCTAAGAAATTCGTACATATTATTGCGATGGAAATCCTCATTTTCAAAAAGCTTGTTTATAAACTTGATTGGGAAATGTAGACGTGCATTTTAACGAAAACCGTTTGGTCAATCATTAAAAAAAAAACAAATAAACGTTTATTAAAGGTGTAATAATGTGTTCTTGGATCTGTGTTTGACGGGTCATATAATGTTGCTAAGGGCGACTATCTATTGGGTTTGATATTATGACAGTGGGGTTTATAATGTTACGGTTTTGTGTTATTCTTCTACTACCGAAGGTCAGGAGTTTGGTTTGTAATTTTTTTGAAGCTATAGATGCGAGGATGCTAAGATTTGGCATGGGAAAATGTTGTGTGTAAGAAGTTTTTTACTCGTAATTTATAGCTGTTAGTTTGTTACGAAGCATAGGTTGTTCACATATCATGTTTTTCTTAAGCATTTACATGTAATTTATTCTTTAGTCCGTCTTTTCAATTTTAACTTATATAACAACTGTGCTTTAATGGTACATGGTTTGTCTCTATAAAACCCAAAAAGGTGGTCAAAAATTTGAAGAAAGAGGTAAATTAAAGCTCATCAAGCTTATAACCGTTTGTTACAAACAAAACAAAGACGATAGGCAATTAGGCATAGTCCTCACAGCTAATGATGAGGCATTAGTGTTAAACTCAAAACCATCTACGTTTTAGCTGCCTTCTTATAGTTATGAATCCCGTTTCACTTAGAATCTTCTATGTAATTGAAAATTGAAAAATTCCAAAGACGCTGATGTGGTTGCCTGCACATCTCTCACTGACATGTGATTGGCCCATTATTTGGCCGGCCCTCACACTGAACACCTCATCATGTCTTCTCGCCATTTCTTACTTTTGTTGTCAAACAATTTTCATTTTACAGTCATGTCTTTATAAACATTTTTTGTTCTGTATATTCAATGGTGTTCAATGTTCCACGGAAGGCTTTTCGCTCTTTTTATGATTCCCTCTTATGATCCATCATTTTCTAAACCTATGATTGACTTTTTCACCCATTTTTAACATTTACCTTTTCATATTCACGTAAACTTTTTTTTTTTGTATGTAAAAATAAAACTCTTGTTTTCTATACAAATTAATACAACCATTACGTATTAGAGATTTTTTGCAGAGTCATTAAACATCTAACCAACCAAACAGCCTCACACCAATTAAAACTCCTGTTCCGTTTTCAAGAAGTCTTCTCAATCGCTCATGTCGTCAAAATCTTCAAATTCATTGACACCATCAGCTGCGTCATCCTCTGATTCGTCTGCATCTTCTTCATCTGTTTCCATTGCTTCATTTGGTCCTTCTCCTTCTTCATCTACTTCATAGATCACGGGACCTGCATTTCTTCTTCTTAATCAAAATCGTCCACGAGCTACCCTTAACACAATCAGTTACATACACAGTCTTAATCACATACACAATACATCTTCAAGTCTCACCTAGATAGTAGTATTGGTGGAGGGGAATTAAGATGCTTGAGAACTTATGCTTAGCAATCACCTGTAGATTGGCAGAACTAAGAATAATGAAGCAAGCAATAAGAAAAAGATCAACAGAAAGACAGGGAGAGAAGGCTATCTTCGGAACATGTAATGCATGTCTTAGAAGAACGTTCACAGAGGCTGCCGTAGGAGGCTTATCATCGACTGGAGCAGAATCCTTATTACTCTCCTCACTTCTAAGCTTCACACATAAACAAATCACATCTATAAACCTCATTTATGAATGTCAAGGCCAAAAAAACATTAATAAACCATGAGATTTTATGTGACGTAAAATAGATTAAAACACTTTGAAACAGAATTGAACTCGGAATTTCTAGAGAAATCCAATTTTCAGAAAGTATTCAGATTCAATCGAATGTATACAAAAACCTCAAGACGATTAGAAAAACAAAATCAGAGATGAGGAGATGAAAGGTTCCTTGATCCAAAATTAAGTGCCTTGGGGAAGACTAAAAGATTCGATCAGTGGATTAGAGTGGGACACTGAAGTTGAAGAAGTTCACGGAAAAGAAAAAGGATAAAAAACGAAATTGGAGTGGCCACGTGGACTTTATAACCTGGCAGGTGAGGTGACACTCTTTAAGAGAGAGATAAACAAAGCTTTATATAATTGATATATGTTTAGTAACTGATTAGAGTTTTCTCTTTTTAGAGTTTGCCATGTCACTAATTAGTGTTACCATAATTTGACATGTGACAATTCATTAACCAAATTTGCTTCTTGGTTTCAATTTTTTATGGATTCTATGCTACAATTTATTGGGCTCTTTTTCTTTACTAAGTTCTATAAAACTCAACAAGATAAAAAAATGATCATCTTTGCAAAAGGCGGTCTCAAAAATTAAGGCTAATAGTTATTTCTATCTCTGGCGAACTAAAGCAACAATGGAATTTCAGGAAAGACTAAATGTCATGAATCATGAATCTCTGTGTCAAACTTCGATCTTCTCATCTTCAATGGAAACCAAGACGGTTACGGTTGTTTCAGTCGTTGTCATTAACTTTTCAATTAACTCCATCCGCCCACTCATTCCATGATTTTTTATTCATTGTATCTCCCTTTCTTCCCGTCGATGAATCTGGAACTATTTATAGGTGAGTCTGTATCCATAAACATTATCATTATATTCTATCTATAGTTTGGATCCCGAAAGCCTTTTGAACTCTCAGGTGGTTGGTGGTGAAGGAGTGAGAACTGGTTTCATGCGGATCAAGTGTCAGTCACAATGGAGAGCCATGTCTTGGTTGTTATGGCAAAAAGCCATGTGAGAGACTGTGATTCGGTGATGATCAGAAATTTCTCGGGAGCATGGAGACATCGTCAAGGACCATTAATTCCGGTAACGTTTTTTTTTTTACTTAGCCCAAAAATAGATTGATGATTGGAAATCTTTGTTAGCATTTGAGTATAGCTTATTGATAGCTTAGGTTTATTGTGTATAATATAAAGTTTGTGATGAATGTCGATTGATTGAAGAATAAGAGTGCTAATTGTGAGTTGAATTTAGTCTCATTGCATGATCAATTATTGTATAAAAATTCCATCCATTTATTAGTCTCTCAATTTTTTTCTTTACAACTGCAAAGGAAAGAATTTTTTGTTCATCTCTGGATATGAAGGGTCTTTATATACCTTACATGTCTAGAGAAAGGGAAGAAGATTCTGGGGAAAAATGGATCAATTTGAAGCATAACGCCAACCCGAGTTCGAGCTTCTTCAGATAGGTCCAGAACGAGGTTAACTATTCCATGCTCATGGTAAAATACTACGTATAAGAATCCTTGATATATATACATATAACATGGCAAAGAGATTACTGTCTTTTTTTATCAAGGAGACCGTTTAAAGTTAAAAAAAAAGAACTCATACCAGCAACTTAGATTATATTCTAACTCATTCCGATCATTTTATTTTCCGAGCTTCATTACTGAACAAAGAAAATAATAGAATAATAGTGCATTCATGTATAAATAATTTTTATTTAAGAATTATGTCTCTATAATTTTTAATACTTTTGATTGATCACCGGTTTGTTTGATTTGAGAAATAGCCACTTTAAATCTTTTTTGATTTGAGAAGCACCCGCTTTAATTTGGCCATCAATTTAAGCAAAAACCATGTTCACCAATCTTATTTTTTTTTCTTAATTTTGCAAAGATTCGATCAAAACCATCTTACTTCACTATTGTGTGCACTGCAATAAAGCTTAAAATCATTATTTTTTGTTAAGGCCAAGATTGCACTATAAATATAGTTAGGTCGATAAATCTGTTTTATCACTAAACCAAAAAATGATTTATATGTCTGTTTGTTTTTAAGATTGGAGACGATAATGCAATATTTTTAAAGCTAATTTAAAAAAAAATCAGTTGTAAATTAAATTACTTTTTACATAAAAAATGAATAAACAAAATAAAAGACTATTTTGATCATATCTAAAGTTAAATTAACTTTTATTCACGTAGCTTTCTTTCTTATATATAATTTCCAGTTATGGAAATTCAATAATATGAGTACACACTTTACATCGTTCATAATGAATAAAACAAAGGCAAATTTTTGTTNTATAATTTCCAGTTATGGAAATTCAATAATATGAGTACACACTTTACATCGTTCATAATGAATAAAACAAAGGCAAATTTTTGTTTACCTACCATAATATATATGTGTAACCGGTTCATTGTATATTCAAAAAATATTTAAATACATATGAAACCAAAATTTAATTTAAAATAATAGAAAACACACCTTAATATAGATTCATTTTTTTGTAACAGAAAAAACAAGAAGATAATTTGAAGCTCCCACAGTATATTAATGGCACAACTCTTCAATACAGAAACAACTATTTTTCGTCTTTTGGGACAATAGAAACGACTACTGTAAGAAAAAAAAAAAAAACTATTTTGTTACATATAATCCCTCTTCACCTAAAATTTTGTAAACGAGAAAAATCATTATAATACATATCTCTTACAAATGCAGACCAAAAAATGATAAAATTATATAAAAAAAATAAAGTAGATCCCGCACGCAAGGTGGGCTGATCCTAGTAATTATATATAGTCTTCATTGCTATCATATGATTGGTGATGATCAAAATTTAATTTTCAAAAAGCAATCTGGCCTAAGTGGAAGCCAATGACGAATGATGAAATTGATAAACATAATAGGCACACAATTTTTTTTAAACGCTGAATTCCAAATAGTATAATATTAATTAGTCAGTAAATAAACACACTTTAAAATTTTTATAATAAATATCCCAAGTATTAAAAACTGATATGGAAAAAATCTCAAGTTAATTCATGTGTGCATATATTATATGACAGTTACTAATTAAAAATTGATATGGCAAAAACTTAATAAATTGTGTATTCATTTTATATGATAGCTTACAAAGATGCTGAAGATCTCACACACGAATGTCCTATATGTGGAGCTTTCTTTTGGTTCAATGAAAGAATTAGTAAGACGAAAAAACCAAAACTCCTATTTTCACGATATGCTGTATGAGAAGAAACGTTAAGCTCCTTTTACTAAAGGACCGGCATTGTTTCAGAGACTTCTTACAGGTGATGATTCTATTAGCAAGCACTATCGGGATAATTCCAGACCAATCGATATGATGTTTTTTTTTACATCACTTGGAGGGAAGATCGATAATTCTATTAATTCAGGCCAAGGTCTTAATATTTTCAAGCTTCATGTGGAGAACTATCACTTGATTAGTAGTATAAATCCTAATCCAAATGTGAAAGTCAAGTTTTTGCAGTTGTATATTCATGATACAGAAAATGAGGTTGATAACCGTTTATCTGCGCTACGGTATTAATATGCATGAAATTTTTTTAATGTTTTTATAATAGGTATTTGTCTTTTGTACCTCATGTTTGGTTATGTTTTGCAGTGGGAATTCAGAGAAAGCATCCGACCAGATTTGATTAAGTCTATAATGGAAATGTTAAGGGGATGTAATGTGCACCTGAAAACTTTTTGTAATACAATGGATAGATTTAATGATAAAGACGAAACTTTCTTTGGTCCTAATCCACAGCCGGCTTACAGATGGAAGAGTTTACAACCTGCCAACTTCTTATGAAGTAGATGCGTTAGTTGTCGATTTTCAAGAAAATATGGACAAGCGTGATATAATCTTTAAAAAAAGATCAGAAAGCTTAAAAGGATTAGTGACATTCCTGCTATTTTCCACTACAGCATCCACTTATTTTTATTTATGGCGAAGAGGGTTTTCATTTACGTATTAAACATGGTTTCACAGGACCCACCAAAAACAAGAAGCCTAATGTTAGTATGAGGAAATACTTTGCATATCGTATTCAAGTTCGAAATGTTGGGTCTCAGGTTTCATCTTTCAAGACATTTTCTTCAGCAATTTATGATTGATGCATATACAATGATTGAATAACATCGTCTTCGGTTTATAAGGAAAAATCAGTCCAACCTTCGAACTTTGAAGTTTAGTAAGTTTGTGGAAGGTTTAAATCAAGGTAATTCGAGTGTGGTTGTTGAAGGAAATCAGATTATTATACCATCTTCTTTCACAGGTGGTCCTCACTACATGCATCAAATGTACTTAGATGCAATGACGATATGCAAATACTTTGAATTTCTAGATCTATTTATTACATTTACATATAATCCTAAATGGCCAAAGTTGAACATGTATTTTGACAAATATAATATGAGATTTGAGGATATAATAGAGCTGTGTTGTAGACTCTTCAAAGTGAAACTGGATAGTTTAATGATTTTTGATATCAGTAAATGGAAGGATGATTCTACAATAAACCGTGGAGAAATAGAGATGCTCGTTGGTGATGAGAAAGTAAGATCAAATTTAACATTAAAATTAAATTTTGATCGTGGTTGTTTTTCTAACTGCTTAACTTTTGTTTTTAAATAGGGATCCACCAATCAAGAAACAGTTGTAGATAAAATCATGAGAGTAAATCAAACAATTATGGGTGAGAGTATAAATATTATCCTTTCGCATGGTGCATTCATTAAATTCGGAGGAGACATAATCTGTAAACTTCTTGCATTAGGGAGTCCTATTGTTTCTATCCTATATATACGAAATACCACAATGAACAAAACAAGAAGAAAATATTTTTTCAACTTACAATTTCGTGATGAAGTCTTTGATGTTTTTTTTTCTTCTGATTTTAAGTGTTCTCTTAAAATCATGCAGTAAGAGTGAAGGTTATCAGTAAATGGAACGATGATTCTATAAGAAACCGTGGAGAAACATAGATATTCTTTGATAATGAGAAAGTAAGATGAATATTAACATTGAAATTAAAAATTTGATCGTGGGCATGTTTCTAACTGATTAATTTATGTTTTCATCAAGGATCCACCAATCAAGGAGCGGTTGTAGATAAAATCATGAGAGTAAATTGAACAATTATGGGTGAGTATAATATATACTCTTTCTTTCGTATGGTTCATTCATTAAATTCGAAAAAGACATAATATGTAAAATTTTTGCATTTGGGTGTCCTAATGTTTATATCTTATATATAGGTAATACAACAATGAACAAAGCAAGAAGAAAACAAATTTTCAACTTACAATTTTGTGATGAGTTATTTGATGTTTTTCTCTGATTTTAAGCTTTTCTTTAAAATCATGCAGTAAGAGTGAAAATTATCAGTAAATGAAAAGATGATTCTACAAGAAATCGTGGAGAAGCATAAATGCACTTTGGTGACAAGAAAGTAAGATCAATATTAATGTTGAAATTAAAATTTTGATTGTGAGCGTTTTTCTAACTAGTTATTTTATGTTTTCATACATGAATCCATCATTAGATGAATTCATCAAAGTAAATCAACCCATTATGGGTGAAAGTGAATGGTATAAGATTTTTAATTTCTTTTGAAACTTAATAATATTTTTATTAAAATAAACAAAGCTTGAGTATTAAATTGGATACAATTATAAAAAAAATTTGTATTAAAATAGACAAATAATTAGTCAAAATATTAAACTGGTTAACAAAAAGTTTGGATATTAAAAAACTTAACAAAATTTTGTTGGAATATATTTATAAAATTTTCCCTTTTAAAAACACATATTTTCTAGAACCAATCTGGTCACTATTTTTGTAAATGCATGCATTAGATATTTTTAGTTGCGTATCTCAACATTTATGGCAAAGATCCTACAAAAATGATAACTAGAAATATCCTTAATTTATTGAATTAATTACGAAGATCTCTCTTTATCCACAAACAGAAAAAAATCGTTGGCATAAATAACTCTACAAAATCTCAACCAATAAAGCAAAAACATTCTTTTCTCATACAGTAAACGTACGACTGAACACATAAACAAAAATATATTTTCTCCAAATTGATCCACTTTTCTTAAACTAAATTAAAAAAAAAAAAACAAATCTGAGCAGGCATTAACGTAATTGACTAATTGACTAACTCCCAAACAGTCCAACAAATTCTTAATTTTCATTTTTTTTATACAAAAAAACACGGAATCAAATGTAATTAAATTAAATTCTGATTAAAACACTAATAACAATGTTCCTTAACCTTATGGGTTTGATAATGGCGTGACACCTTTTATCTCCTTCTTCTCAACAATCTCATCTTCTCTTCTCTCACTCCAATTGCTTGCAGCTCACTCCTTCTCCATCATCTTCTCTCTCTCTTCCAATGGGAAACTGCCTCCCAAACTCCCCTCCCAAATCAACGGCCGAGATCTCTCCGACGACGGCGAAACCTACCTCCACCGTCACAGTAAAACTCACCGCACCACCGAACAGTCTCTCAACCTCTTACCTCCGCTTCGCTCTCCTCCACAAGAACCTCAACCTCCGTTTCGTCCCTTCGGAAAACGAGAAACCGACAATCCAAATCGGAACAGAGACAGTCTCGGGATCTCAAGAGGTTCTACTCCGTTACATCGAGGACAAGTTTCCCGAGCCGAGGCTGATGATATGGAAGTTTAACCTAGAAGGCTTTGATGAGGCGACGCCGCCGATAGTGAAAGCGATTTGGCTTCAGCACAGGAGCATGTTGTGGCATATCGAGAGGATGCTGAGGTGGACGGAGGATTTAGCGGCACGTGGAGGGAGGAGAGCGGTTGATCCGAAGGTGGGGACAAGGGGGATGGAGATAAGGAAGTTTGTGAAGAGTTATGGGGAGTTGCATGAGGTTATGGTTGAGCATGCTCAGATGGAAGAGAGGATTCTTTTCCCTGTTCTTGAATCTGTTGATAGAGGTAATTAGGGTTTTTTAGTTTTTTTTTTTTAATTTTTGATTGGCTGTTAAATTTTATTTTTGATTTTTTTTTGAAGGGATGTGTAAGAGTGCAAATGAAGAACATGGGAGAGAGTTACCGATGATGAATGGGATTAAAGAATATATCAAATCGATTAGTGTAATGGACTCTGGGATATGTTCTGAGGAACTCTTTAGTCTTGCTTCTCGTTTTAAGTCATTGCAGGTAGTTCTGAACGATAACAAAATCTTGTGTTCTTGTAATGAAATGAGAGCAAGATTGTTGATACGAGGTTGTTGTTGTTGTGTTTATAATAGGTGATGTGTAAAGCACATTTTGAAGAGGAAGAGAAAGAGCTGTTGCCAATGGTGGAAGCTGCAGAGATGGGGAAAGAGAAGCAGAAGAAGTTGATGAATCAAAGCTTGGAACTTATGAGAGGGACTCATTCTAACGTGTGTGATTTTTTACTGCAAGGTCTCACTCCTCAAGAAGCTATGCAGTATCTTGACTTGCTCATGAACTTTGCTGATCCGAATCTTATCTCATCTTTTATCTGCCAACAAGACATTGTCGACTGATCGTATGCTCTTGCCTAAAAATTGTGAAAACTGTTGTGTTTGGTGAAGTGAATTTGGTGTAAATATAGTCAGATTAACCATCAGGCTGCTTTGTTTCTTATTGATACAAACAAAAAAAAAAGGATTATAAGAGGGGAAGTGGTGATTACATATGTTACCATTCAACAATGTTAATTTGATTTTATCCTGTTTGATTGATTCAAGAAAACTAGGTCTTCAATCTTGTCTGTTTAAGAGATTGGTTGTCGGTTACTCAGAAGAGTAAAGCTTTCTTCTTATTACCTGTCTTTTGTTGTCTCAAAAGTCTTGAACACCGACAAAACAAAGGTAACATAAAAAGTTGAAGAAAAAGACAAACTAACTATTCAAAAAACTGAAATTGAAGAGGAAAAGATAAGTTAAAAAGTGTATTTACACGATTCAAAATCACTACAAAACCACACATTAGACCGGTCGTATTGGCAAAAATTAAACGACTCAATGTCTCATCCATCCTCCAATCTCTCATTTTCTCCTTTATAAGTTATACTAATTTCTTCTTTATGATCAATCTAAGAGATTTGATGACAACAAATGCAGGAAGAAAAGAGAGAGAGAGAGGATGCAACCTAACGTCAAAAACTGTTGGTTTTCCTGAATCGAGCTGAATTAATATGTACACAAATTCCTGGTTTTGGCTATTACCTGTTAAGCTTAGCTAAGAACTGGTTAAGATTGTACTCTTCTGTGTACTGTGATTGATCCCACAGTTCCTCTAAGTTACCTAGAATTGCCTTTATTCCTTTTCCAGTTCCAGCAGTCTGGTCATTATCCTCTGATCCCTTCTTCGTAGACGCAGGACCACCCTACAAGTAAAGACACGATTATTGATTATACCATTCATCCAGAAACTTGTAAACAAAATAAAATTTTCTACCTTTTTCGAAGTTTCAGCTGAAGCGAATATATCTAGCAACTGATCAGTGTTCATTGTCTTCATACTAGCATTCTCAGCATTGATCACCGTATTGGCAACCGACACTTTGAATCTTTGGAGACTCATTGAAAGACAAGAGAAATCTAAGAAGAATACTTGTTATTTACTTCAATGTACGTACAACTCTATTTATACAATATCGACATCTTAGAGATAGATACATATCTTCTCAGAATATCTTTACATTCTTATCTCTAACTTCACTCTACTTATCCTTCCATCATTATCTCCAACTAACACAACGGTTCTAGACTTCTAGAACCTTAACACTCATCACTTTTTCTTCGAGTGTCCCACGCATTATGAGACGGTGTACGTTTACAACTCTCTTCTGTCCCAATCTATGCGCTCTATCCATCGCCTGCCACATTCTTTTTATTCACATCTAAATTAGCAAACCCAACTATTATAATAAACATTTACTCAAGTAGCAAAATGGAAGTGACGCGCAACTCTTCCTCCCTCCTGGTTACAAGCACAGATCCAAAGATAAATTCATAATCATTATATACCTGATGATCACGCATAGGATTCCAATCATGCTCCATAAATACAATTGTGTCAGCAGAAGTCAGGTTCAACCGAAGTCCACCAACTGAGTGAGAAATCACAATATCTACTCTATATGCTAAGTGGAAAAAGCATACAATGTGTTGTCAGGAGCAGAACATCAATTGTGGGATCTGAATTGAAAGCCTTCACAATCTCAAACCTTTTCTCCGGTACAACTGAACCATCCAGTCGCATATATGTGACGCTGCTTTCAATAATGCATAAACAGATAAGCAAACATATTAGAAGCAGTTTAAAAGATGTATTAAGATAGGCATGAGAATCACAACAAACAGGTTAAGTACACAAGTTAACATAAAGGAAAAAAGGCTCAACATTTTAACACATTTAATCAATACAGAGTCCAGTGTCGTTATTATAGTAAAAAGAATGAATTTTACAAGTTGAACTCACCTTTTCATGTGGACTTGAAACAAGTCCTTTTCAATGATGTCCAGCAAAGCCTGCATGAATCAACATGGTTAGATCTTGGACAATCTTGCAAGGAAACAAACATAGCGGGAATGGAAGAAATTAGAGATCTACGGTTCGATATGTAATTACTTTGTGCTGTGCAAATATCAGAACTCTGTGCTGGCCTAGACTAAGAGTGCCATCTGTACTTAGTGTACATGAGGAAATGATTTAGCAGACACTACTAGTGTCACACTAGAGTCACTAAACTGTTTTGATATGTTTTTAGAAGTCAATTAATACAAGTAGATTTCTAGAAGTTTGGTTCTAAGTTCGAATGTTTTGGTCTTATTTGTTTTGGGGTTGTATTCAGAGGGAAAAGTTCGGTCTCGGTCTTGTTCTACAAGAGTGTTACTGAGTTGTCAGGTAAACCTTGATTCATGGTCCTTTTCAAGTTTCAAACTAATTAGTTGACTTAAATAATACTAAAAATCTGAAAATGGGGTTTAAATTGAAAAAGGAGGAAAAGCCAAAGCTGACGTGGATGCACATCCACCAATCATGGTTAGATTCCTGTTCAGATGATCAAGAAACATGGATTTTCTGAATACCTGTTTGGTACAGAAGCTAACCAAAAGAGCATAGTGTTCTGTGTTTTACATATCTTGAAAAGTGTATTAAACAACGAAAGATTGTGGCTGAATCGGTCCATCTTTCGATCATAATTGGTTTGTTTAGGACCCTTTAGGTCTGTCTGGTCTCTACAACAAAACCATATTCTTTTGTTTATGTATCTGATAACTCTAGTCTTGGTTTGCTTCTTCTGTTTTTCCATTTTGTTGTTTTCGTCCACTGATCAGGAAATAACTCGGTTTGGTTCTTTTCTGGTTTACAAGGATTGTTTTGTGAGATATCCGTTTGGTTCGGTTTTCTTAACCACAACGCGATTTCTCGCGAATCTCGCCTCGGATACTGTAATCTAAAAAGGATATGATGGAGATTAAAAAAGACGCGAGTCACGGAACATGATTTAAAGCATTAAGTCTTGTCTTAAGTCTTAACTACTAATTACCATACTTTCCGTAATTAACGCCTTTTCACTTTATCCATCTTTTTACTTGCTCTCTTCTTTATAGTATTTAATTAGTTCTTTCACTAAGCTCACTCACACTAGGCTCAGTCAATTTCCACCAAATGGCTACCTTAAACACTCGAGTCTTATTCTTTTCTCTATGTCTCATCCTTAGCAAGAAAGCAACGTCGCAGCTTGATGAGCTATGGCTAGTCGGCGACGAGGATGACGATCCACTCAGGGCGTTGCAGACAAGGCATGAGAGAAGAGAGGAGAAGTGTGATTACTCAGTGGGGAATTGGAGCTACGACGAAACGTATCCTCTCTATGACTCAAACTGTCCATACCTGAGCTCTGCGTTAAGCTGCCAGAGAAATGGGAGGCCTGACTCTTATTACCAGAAATGGAGATGGGTCCCTAAGTCATGCTCACTTTCAAGGCACACAAAAGCACTACTCTCTTTTTTTTTTTTTTTTTTTTGAAACACTGAAATATTAAAATGCACTACTCTCTATTTTTACTTCTTTTTAACCAGTTTAGGGATACTATATGAAAGAAAACTCGGTTAGGTTATTCTATTGGCTCCATATAGTAACTGCATGAGGACTAAATGGTATAGAGATCATTAGAAAAAGAGAAATGTGATTGGAATGCAAATAGAAAATAGAATAATGTTTTTGTATATCTACAATGTAGTAAACTAAGGTTAAGATATTATGAAATCGTGTTTAAATTTTTGAAAATAAAATTAAGATAGTAATCCTTTGATTTCATGAATAATGTCATTTGACATTTTCACACAAATTAAGAAAAGGATTGCAGTTTATTATGTTTAATAAGTACATTTATTTAACAAATATTAGTTTAGATAAATAAAACTATTTGTAGGATCATAACATTTACAATTAATAGTAAAGTTAAAATATATATATACTGCACTGAAATTATAAAATAATAATTTTGTGTAACAAAAAAAAGTTTCAAACTAACACTTTAATGAAACAGAGAAATATGATCTAGTGATTTACTTCTCAGCTAGTTTTCCAAACAGAGTTGTTAACCACATTTTTCAACTTTTATTCTTACTGAAGTAAGCTATATCTAATTATTGATGGGGATTTTAGGTTTGATGCTTTGAAATTTCTTGGAAAAATGAGGCAAAAAAGAATAATGCTGGTAGGAGATTCAATAATGAGGAACCAGTGGGAATCTCTTGTCTGTTTAGTACAGTCTGTGCTTCCCACGCATCGTAAGAAGCTCACTTACAATGGTCCTACAATGTCTTTCCATTCTCTGGTAATAATCATTTCTCCCTTTTGGATCACATTTACATCATTGGTTAGTACAAAACAGCTAATAAGTTTGGTTACTTGAAGGACTTTGAAACATCAATTGAGTTCTGTTGGGCTCCTCTGCTTGTGGAACTCAGGAAAGGAAATGACCGTGAAAGAGTGTTACATTTGGACTCAATCGAAGACAATGCTAGATACTGGCGAGGTGTTGATGTTCTTGTGTTCGATTCTGCTCACTGGTGGACTCACTCTCAGAAACGTAGTTCGTAAGCCATCAAGAAAACCCTTATCAGATTTAGTTTAGACGCAAATGAATAGTTTATAACTGAATATAGCCATGCTATTGATGATTTTAGGTGGGACTATTACAAAGATGGGAACAAGCTTTACAAAGCTATGGACCCAATGGTTGCTTACGAAAGAGGACTAACCACATGGGCTAATTGGGTAGAGATTAATCTTGATCCATCCAAAACCAAAGTAATCTTCCGCACAAGCTCACCAAGGTCTACTTTTTCTTCCTAATCTCATAACATTAATAACATGAAACCAAAGTTTGATCATGTACATAAAAAAAATGTAATCCTTGGCAGAGAGAGTGGTCAAAAGTGCTACAACCAGAAACATCCACTGCCTTCTTCTAGCGAACCACACGTTCCTCAACAATCAAGAGTGTTGAAAAAAGTGCTTATGAAAATGAAATATAGAGTGTATTTGCATGATATCACAACAATGTCGGCGTACAGGAGAGATGGGCATCCATCAGTGTTCAAGAGAGCGATGGGCGAGGAAGAGAAGAACCATCGTTTCGCTGTACCTTCATCAGATTGTAGTCACTGGTGCTTGCCTGGTGTCCCGGATATTTGGAATGAGATGCTTTCTTCTATTATCTTAACTAAAGCTGCATGAGTTATGTGTCTGGTTTACTTATGGTGTTTCTTGTATTAGTTATTATGAGTCAGTGGCTTACTATATATATATATATATGCCCTTTCCCAACTAAGAACCCAATAATCAAAGACAAAACAGCTCAAAGGTCTTTAAGCATGTGATGATAATAAGTACTTGAACTTGGCATATGGCAGCAATAGATGATGAAATTAGTATACTATTTGCATTTCTCTCCATGTTTTCGAATATTATGCAATCAGTACAATCACTACTGAATATGATAACTCGTATATGGTTAATGGTCGAACTTGACACTATTTATCCATTTGTTTTGTCAATTAATGCATATTAAGGTCCGTTTAGCATAATGTTTGGGTAGAGAGAATTTGACGTTACTTTGAAAGCTCTTTCTTTACTTTTCACCCACTCACATTTTCACAACTTTTTCTTCTTTTTCTTTGTCTTTGTATGATTCGATTAATTAAATTAGTCTTAAGAAGGACACCAAGATTATTCCCAAACCAAACGCTACAAATCAAATAGAAGCCAAAAAAAGGTCAGGCATGAGCTTGTTCCAACGATTTTTACAAAGTTTACATGTGCGTTCACATGTGAAAAACCAAATTATGTATCCTAAATCTTTTCTTGGGCTAATGTATCCAAACACCCTTTGTCTGTTTCCACTGATACCTAACTCCATTTGTTCTTTCTCAAACATTGTAGGTAAGTTTTGGTTTTATCACTATACACCAATGCTTTATCTGTACACTATATACTTACTATAGAAGGCCTGTCTGAGATTTTGAAGAATATATAGGCAAAAGAAAATAATAAAAATAATATTTTTAATAATTTGAAAATTTAATGTTTACGTATATTCATTTTTTTTAAAATTGGAGATTTAGAAAATAATGTTTCATTTGTATATGTTTGACACAATATTACGTTTATACAATACTACCCCTGTGTATATGATAGGATCGAAGTAATGAAGGTTTTCTGTTTGTCAATAATATTTGAATAAAATATTGGTAATATTTGAATAAACTTTTTTTTTTTGGAACATTTGAATAAATAAATATAATCGGTTATGAGGTGGCGCGTCAGTTTATTAGTTTCTCCGTCTCTTTATTGGTTTTGGATTTAATCACTTGAAAGCTCTCTCTCTCTCTCTCTCGCCAGATCTCTCTCTATCTGGGCACACAATATCTACACGCGTGGAGGAATAGATTTTTGATATGGCGGCGGATAAATGGGTGTACATGGTGACGGCGCAAACTCCGACGAACATCGCCGTGATTAAGTATTGGGGGAAAAGAGATGAGGTCCGTATCCTCCCCGTCAACGACAGCATCAGCGTTACTCTTGATCCCGATCACCTCTGCACTGTCACCACCGTCGCCGTTAGTCCCGCTTTTGACCGCGATCGAATGTGGCTCAATGGCAAGGTACTTCCCTGAGAGAGATTCCATTAACCGAATCCAAAAGGAAAATCTTAAATATGAATATTTAGTCTCTGAGGCTAGGTTTGGATTTGGATTTGAACTTTGAATGTTCGCTTTGTTAAATATACTGATGACATCAATGTTCTAAAAAATCTTTAGGCGGCGGTTAGGCATTTTATAGAGGATTTTTGTTTAGGCGGGCGTGTAGGCCTATTTTTTAGTGCTACACCGATTTCTTATATATCGGTTTGAAAAAAATGTTTAACGACTAGGCCGGAGCGCCGCCTAAACCGATTTTAGAACACTGACCTCAATCGGTCTAGGCGGGAGCCCTGCCTAGACCGATTTTTAGAACACTGACCTCGTTAATGATATCAGTCCTGATGTGAAATCAAATTTGTACTTTTGCTTCATAAACTGTCTCATCACAGAGCAAAAATTCAAAAGCTAAGTTTTTGGTATGAGTCTTTATGATTGGATTCATTGGAATTTTGTGTTCTTGTCTGTTTTCATGTTAGTGTAGGAGATCTCTCTTTCTGGGAGTAGGTATCAGAACTGTTTGAGGGAGATTCGAGGGCGTGCTGGTGATGTTGAAGACAAGGAGAAAGGTGTCAAGATAGAGAAGAAAGAGTGGGAGAAACTTCATCTACATATTGCTTCTCATAACAACTTCCCTACTGCTGCTGGCTTAGCTTCTTCTGCTGCTGGATTTGCTTGTCTTGGTATTTTGCATTCTCTCTATCTCTGTTTCTTCGTGGGGTTGATTGAAACTGAAGCATGAAAAGTATTATAATATTTAAACTCTTTCTTTGCCGTTTAATTAAAGGAACCCACATGGTATGATGAATATTTAATATATATGGATGCTTAAAAGTTCATTTTAAGGTCAGAATATGTATAGAGAAGATGTGATTGCTTGTTTTTGAATTCAGGAACAAAATTACAGCTCCATTGTAATTTATAGCTTGTCACTAACTCTTTTGTCTTTCCTTGACATTTAAATCAACTACAATTCTGGAGGTTTATTATGAGCTTTAGAATGCTTCTTGTTTATGTCAAACTGCTCTTTTGTTACAGTTTTCTCTCTTGCAAAGTTGATGAATGTAAATGAAGATCCAAGCCGTCTTTCTGCAATAGCCAGGTACATAAGTAGTGGACTTTCTTGCATTATCATTCGCTACAGTTTATTTATCATTTTCTTAGTGCATTGGTTATATACGGATACTAAATAATGCTTTACAGTGATTTTATTTATGCCTCAGACATTTAACGTTCTCCATGATGTTTTATTGTTGAATGACATGCAGTCTGACATTCTTCTAAAGATTAAATGGTACTGGTTAACCAGGGTTTAATTTTATTTCTTTCGTGTAGGCAAGGTTCAGGAAGTGCTTGCCGGAGTTTGTTTGGTGGATTTGTCAAGTGGGAAATGGGAAGTAAAGAAGATGGAAGTGACAGCGTTGCAGTTCAACTAGCAGATGAGAAGCATTGGAATGAACTTGTTATCATCATTGCCGTGGTATAAATCTATACTTAAACGACTTGTAGATTTGGTCGCAGAATTTCTCTCATTCTCTTATCTGCATTATTGCATGAATACTACAAGTCTGAATGATCTGAAATCTATGAAAATCTATTGCCTGATTTATATTCCTTCATTTCTTGTAAAAGCTTCTTTTTATATAGGTTTTGTTAAGTCTTTTTAGCTTTTGTTACACCCAGGTGAGTTCACGGCAGAAGGAAACGAGCAGCACCTCTGGAATGCGTGAAAGCGTTGAGACGAGTTTGCTTTTACAGCACAGAGCAAAAGTACGTTACTTCTTGATCGAAGACTGTATTATTACCTCTTACACTTCGTTTTCTGTTTTCTCTTTACCTGTAGGAAGTTGTGCCTAAACGGATTCTGCAAATGGAGGAAGCTATTAAGAACCGAGATTTAGCATCCTTTACACAACTGAGCTGCGCAGACAGTAATCAGTTTCATGCTGTTTGTCTAGATACATCTCCACCCATATTTTACATGAATGACACCTCCCACAGGTATAATTTTTTATTTATGTTGACAGTCATATGCTGTTTCTTTTTATTTAACCATCATCACACACCCTTTCTTTTCTTACTATCAAGCCGTTAACTGCTTCCTCAGGATAATTAGCTTGGTTGAAAAGTGGAATCGTTCTGAAGGGACACCACAGGTAAAAGAGTCCTACCAAGTTGTGTCTTGGTCAACCTTTTGACCATTTGCTAGTTCCAAAATTTGCACTGGCGTATATTTGTTTCCAAGCATTAAGATTTGAGATAGATCAGATCGCCTTCTATCTCAAACCTCATTGCAAAACAGTATTATGTGTTCCCGAGTATATAAACAACAAATAACTCGAAGATTCTAAATCTGGACAGGTTGCTTACACATTTGATGCTGGTCCAAATGCTGTACTGATTGCACGCAACAGAAAGGTAGCAGTTCAATTGCTGCAGGGGCTTCTTTACTATTTCCCCCCTAAGTCTGACACTGATATGAAGAGGTGAGCGATAGAAACTTTCTGATTCTTTTACTCTATATGACTAAAGAGCTCTTTGCAATGATACTGGTTTCTTTGGTTACCAGTTACGTAGTGGGAGATAATTCAATTCTAAAGGAGGCAGGATTAGATGGAGCAAACAGTGTAGAGAATCTACAACCTCCACCCGAAATCAAAGACAACATTGGATCTCAGGATCAGAAAGGAGAAGTCAGTTATTTTATCTGCACTAAACCTGGAAGAGGTCCCATCGTGCTTCCCGACCAAACTCAGGCTCTTCTTGATCCGGAAACAGGCCTTCCCAAGTGAGCATTTTCTCTGCTTGATCAATTTAATGTTATGATTAGCAGCATCCCTTTGACTGCAAGTTTAAGAAACTATATTTGTGGCAGAATAAGTTCAAGCTTCGTTGTTATCTACTGCTAGCTTTCTTATGTTCAAAAAACAAAATATCACTGATTTCATCCTTTTACCTGAGTACATCCTTTTTACTATACTGCACCATATACCAAGTTTTGAGACGCCTTGAATCTACTATTAGCTTTAGGGTTTCGAAACGGTAATCCATATATA